AAACAACCTCAACCAGTGTTTTGCAACCTGATTCTAGTCCCCAGATGTTAGTTGATTGCTGGTCTTCATCAGGAAATTTTCTTCAGCATAACAAAGAAATAACATAAATGCACACTAGGCCATTTGTGGTCAAGACTCAAGAGTCAAGACCAAGTATCCTTGAACAATTTACAGTACTAACAAATCACAAGTTGTTCAGCAATAAAATAAAAATTTTTTTGAAACAAAATGAATGACAATCCAAACTCTGGCAAAGCTTGAGAACCAGCAATGATTTCTTTGATTCTTGGTGAATGCATATTTTTTGTAAGTATATAGACTGGTTTTTTGGGCGACATCTATACAGTATATAATGGTCCCTGACATGAAATTCAGCTGGTCTCCACCCAGCAAAAATTGCGGATTCCCACCAGGGATAGCTGCTACTTTTACGCGTAAAGTGGCTGTTTCTGTTGATGGTAAAACGGTTTTGGCTTGGGAGGAGGGCCCTGTTTTCCTGACGCAGTCAGGATGGGGTAAAAACGTTTTTAGTTGAAGCTTTGAAAGCGTCAGAGTCTGATGCTTTCAAAAGCGTTTCTTACCCTGTTAAAAATGTTTTTGTGTGACGCTTTTGAAAGAGTCACATTTTGACTCTTTCAAAAGCATTTTTAACCCTGGTAAAAACGTTTTTCTGTGATGCTTTTAAAAGCATTGTAATTTTATTAGTAAGCAGACCAGCAACTCTTATTTTGTTATTGGAATTTATTTATCCTATATTTAGATTGGCAGGCTGATTTGAGCATCATATTTAAACTCTGAAAAAATGCAGTTCTTATGCAAAAATAAATAAGGGGGTGAAAGTGATGGATGCTAATAGCAGTATACTCCAATTAAATATATGAAGAATCTGTTTTTTATACCAACATTGTTCAACACTGCTTCAACAGTGTTATAAAACTGTTTTCATAAACCACAATGTTTTAACACTGATTCCACAGTGTTGTAACATTCTTGTCATGGGAGGTTAATTCTCAAACCAATGCAAGTGTGCACACTGCTGTGTGCTGTAATTAAAGTCAAGTTGTATTATTTGCAATATGTTGCATGGATGCATCAATTGTGTATGCATGAATCTCATGCATTTCAAAAGACTTTACAAGTTTTCTCATAAAGTGCTACATGGTCATATCACAAAAGTGTTGCAACATTATGATAACAGTACGTAACAGTGGTTGCATGTAATGCATGTGGAATGAAAAATTTCATTTACAAATGTTTCCAAAGTGTTTTCAACAGTTACTGTGTGGCATTCTAACAACATTGCAACAACTCGCAAATAAATCTGTGGTAACAGTGTTAATATCTGCAATTAATAGCGTAAGAATAAAGAAATGTTTTATGAGTTAGGACACAGACACAGTGCATTACTTACAATTTTGATCTATTGCAGTGTATCCCAAAAGCAAATATCATACTCTTGTATTGCTGATTATTACATATTGTAAATGTTTAGTTCATTCAGAAACTCTAATCATGCTAGAGTTTCTGGCCAGAATTTCTGCTCTGGCCAATCACTGCTGTATGTTTAGCGCAGTTGTTATGGCTGTGGGCACTGAGTTTTGGGGTCGCAGTTTGAATCCCCAGCAGGTTGCTTGTTTATTCATGTCTTTCCTTTGAGTGTGCGTGTGTGTGTGTGTGTGTGTGTGTGTTTGTTAACATGCTGCTATGCACCCTGCATTCACAATGCTAGTACAGTGTACTGGCATTGTAAACACAGGGCTGCATAGCAGCCGTAAAATTTTTTTAAAAATTGTTTCTGTGACGCCGTAGGGAACAGCATCACATAAACGGGAATCTTGGCAGGAATATGGGGGAAGGGCATAGGGAACAGCATCAAAAAAATTGGAATCTTGGCGGGAATACAGGGAGGGGCCCAAACTGCCAGGATAACCATCAGAGGAAGTGGCAATCTTATCCCCGTCTCTCCAGACAGGTATAATGCCCGCTTTTTATGGTCTGAGTGGCCGCCTGGATAGATGTCCACTCTGGACGTCTATAAGGCCGTCTTTTATGCGCAAACGCAAGCGGATAATGGCCAAATTATTTGCTGGGTAGGGATCTTGTTTACAAAATCCAAAAAAGAAAAAGATAAAGTATATTTCATTTTAACCCCAAGATTAATTGATTCACAGAACACAGCACACAATAAGAATATCAGATAACAATTGGAATAATAATTATTGGCAGGGGACTGAGAGAGACTCAGGAATAAAGAATATTTAAGAATGTTGCAAGAGTGACTTTCTATGGTTTTCACTCTCTTCCATGATCTGTAGAAAACATGAGAAAGGTCTTCAACATTCTGCATAGATTTTGCGGTACTTTAACATACCAAATTATTCCACCACACAGATGATGGAAAGAACTATGAAGAGTGAACTACAAAAGTAGTCTGTTATGGATTATGAATTACAGTATCATGCATTTTATGAAATAGTTTATTATTAAGTTTTGTCAATAAAAAAACTAATATTTTTCAAGAGATATCAGTGTCTGCATGTTGGAGGACCCCTAGCAATGTACCGCAATTCAATGCAGAAAAGAATACTATATTATGCACACCAAAGTTTAAAAACTTGTGAAAATATGTACTGTATTCAAATAAGACATACATTCGATTTCAAAAGAAGATTTACAGAAAAAAATTTCACATAGAACTTGAGTGCATACCATTAGCATGCATTTCAATATAATCTTGAAGTATTCTTAATTTTCCTGGTTTGTTTTCTTCTGCACCAATTGTGGAGTTCGATAAAGCTGTGTAATAAAAACAGTCAGCCCATGAAAGTTCCTCTTATTGAAGCTAAGTTTTCCACAAGGTTATGCCATGACTATGAAATGACTTTTTTCAGCCATGACTATGATACTCTGGAGATCCCAGTGACGTGGTCATATTCCTCCTTATCATCTTTCATTTATGCGCATAAACGGATGGTGGTGAAAATGAGGTCTTCTTCATCTTTTACTACTTTACAATAAGAACTATGTATTGACTGAGTGTTACAGTCTTTCGAAGAATTTTTTTTCGAAAATTTTAGAACTTGCTGGATAAGCACACCGCGCTATCAAAAATATTTGAAGTGAATGTTTTTTTCAAATTTCAATTCGGTTTGAAACCAGTAAGTCAAAATTGTGTACAATGGAGAACACGCTGAGAGAGAAAAATTTGCAGCAGAAATTCTTGAGCAGAGAATCAGATTTCCTGAAGGATTTCTGCTTGCTTTCCACACAAGTGAATGCAATACCAGGTGAAGCAGAAAAGTTTCTCCAGCTGTGTACGTACAATGTGGCAGGTGAGCGGATTTTCATTTTTTGTTAATTCCATGACGTTTTTTTAATTTCTCAGGTATCATGATCAAGCAATCAATGAGGATTTTAATTATGTGATCTGGTACATATGAGTGCTATGCTAGTTTTAGGTTACATTGAGAAGAACAATAGGTGACATTGTTCCTTTGTGCAGAAAAATTGCATAGAATTGCTTCAGCTTCCTCACTGTACTTTAAGGAGACGGTTTCTTTTAGATTTTCTCTATTGCGGCAAGTTAAATTTTTGTTTTTGTAAATTATTTTGAAATGGAAATTAATTGATTTATTGCTAACTGTTTCATGTGCTGAACCATATATTTATTTAATGTAAAAATTTGCCATCCAGGTAGATGTTTGCAAAATTATCATTGAAATTATATAAAAATGTGAAAGAAAATGTCACCTTTACAATGTCTGAGCAAAAAAAAAAATAACTGCTATGATCTGTGGAGCATGTCCTTTTGAAGCTCCAGCTATTGAAAATTGTCCATTCGTTTTAATTATTCTGAAATTGATTAACTGGTGCAATCCAATGTTCTTTTAAAAACTCAACTTTCTTCATAATTTATGGGTGATTTGCAGACATTTTCAGACTGTACTAACCATTCTTTGTAAACACTATCTACTGTCAATCACAGCTAACATCAATTTTAAATGGGGAATCCAGGGGAACCTTGCTTAGGATTGAGGAAGGCTTTCCATCAATTTCATTTCTATAAACAGTTGAATATCTTCAAGTCAAATTCCGAACAACCAGGCAAATAAAATTGCTGAGGGTTTCCAGTTAGGGAAAGTATTACTTTTGCCTTAAAGAAAGAATAATGAGAAGTGTGGAAAGTTAAAATTGATGAAATTTTGGTAGAATACTCTTTTACAAAGATGTTGACAGTGTGCTGAATTTTGAGTGAAGTGCTCAGTTTCCCTATTAACCATTCACCTCCTTTCAAAAAGCTCAGTTAAAAATTATATTGCTTTTCCTTATCCTGACATGCAATCATATTACCCATTCAGCCTCCAGAAAATTTGAGTTATTGCGGTTTGAGATTTTAAGTTTAGAACATTTTTGAAGCATTGTTTCTAAGGGAATTCAGAGAGGGACTTGTCTATCATGGAGAGGTTCAAGTTATTGAGGTTCAACTGTATGCTGAAATTTTTTTTAACAAAGCATGCATGTGCAACCCAAAATAAATATTAGCCAGCTTAACACTTACTTATTAAAATGAGGCCATTTTTGCAAAGGAAGAAGCCTTGTTGTGGAATAAATCTGCTACTCATAAATTCAAAGTTCCTTATTGCTCTCTGAAAGATCAACTCCAACAATTATTTCATGAGAAGACTCAAAAAATTAAAAGGGGCAATACTGAAGGGAACTGGGAGATGATTCATTTTAAATAATGATATCTTTTGAAAAGGTTTTTTCTAAAACAAAGACTAAACTTTGTAAATCTCTTGTTATTTCTATCTTTTTAGCTGAAAAAATTACTATCTAATCTCCATCTTTTCCTAGATTGGGTGCACTTGAGCAGTCCAATGACTTCATCAAACTCTCAATTACAAAGGGGCTGTGCTAATGGAATAATAAAGGGATCCCATTCCATATTGCAGAAAACTTTATGAAGTTTCAAAAATTTGAATTTGACAGGTGGCAAGCAGATGCGTGGCTTTTTCAGCTATTGCAGTGCTGTGGAAGTGGCTGGTGGAAGACAAATGGATGGAATTTGGCACCCAAACCTAGATAATGCTGCCATCATGGTTGCCTATTGTTGGGAGGTGATGTTAATAAAGGAGGAAAAAGATATTTTTCGTCAGGCAACTAAAACTAGTTGCCTATTGTTCGGAGGTGATGTTAATAAAGGAGGAAAAAGATTTCTTGAGACAAGAAGGAAGACATGGAAAATTAAATCGGATCTTTTCGAGCAAAGATAAGTGTAAAAATACAATGACCAGTATTTGAAAATGCTCCAACTCAAAAATGAATAAAACAGATCAGCTATCATCTCTTGAGACAGACAAATTTTATCCTGGAAATTGACTGACTGACACTTTTTCATAAGGAATAATAACATTTTTATGTGTCTCTTTTATTTTACATTCCTATCCTTGATCCCAGGAGCTAGTGTGCAGTATATATTAATTCTGATTTGCTGCCAACAGGTGCTCCAAGGTTCTTTTCTGGTTCTGGATGATCTCGTGGATCAGGGTCAAAGTCGGCGGAAACAACCATGTTGGTACTGTTTGCCAGAAGTTGGTACACGAGCTATTTGGGACTCTGACATCATGTATACTGCGATATATCATCATCTGAAGCGGATCCTGCCATGGTACAAATTTCAAGAGGTACAGGTTGGGTTTTTGTTGTTGAAATTTTCAGCAGGGAATTTTGATCAGGGTTTATATATTTTTGAAAATATCAAATATTTTATTTTCAAATCCATTCTCCCCCATACCTTTTTCCAACTAGGTGTATGACTTGCTGCAGTTGGCACATGTCAAGACATTTGCTGGAGGTTGGATGGACACTTTAGGTGAACAGGACGCCATCAAGAATGTTGGAGTGCAAAGAAAAATTGCAATACTCAAGTCGGCTTACTATACCATTATTTTGCCTGTGGTGTCAGGTGCAATGATTGCAGGTGCCAGCAAGGTTAAGGTATAGTTGAACCTCTCTACGTCAAATATCAAGGGACCAGCTATACATTTGGCCTAGGTATAGGCTTTGAATTGTAGAGGTTTGAGCTACAATACAAAGCCCTTGTGTCTGGTTAGAAAAATTGTAAATGGTGACATTCTTGGGCTTTAATTGCTTCCAAATGAGTTCAAATGATGCTGAACTTGGTGGCAGGGGTTCATTTGCCCAATGAAGTATACATCACTTTCTTCAAATGCAGGTAAATTAAATTTTTTAATGCTTATTTGTTCTGTTTTCAAGGAGAAAATAGCCAACAGGCCAAAGAAAATATGACTCATGGAGGTTTGAGAGAAAAAAACCTTTGACTTGGGGAGGTTTTTAATGCATTGTTTAAAACGTGATTCAGAGTTTTCAGACAGGGAATTCAGACCTTAAGAAAATGTGATTTATGGAGGTAATCAACTTAGGTAGCTTTGAGTTATCAAGGTTCAATTGAACTAATACCTTCAACATTCTCTATACTGGCATATTTGGCAATCCATGATTATTCATTCACAAAAAACCATATTAACCCAGGATATAAACAATGCTCATTAAATGTTTTCTCCCTGACATCATTCATTTTCTAGCAAAAATTTTGCATTTCACTTCATACACTATAATATCGCAGTAATAATTCATTGATTGCAACTGATCAGGTTTATTCCTTTTGCATTAGCCAAAATTAAACTTGAATATCTTTCAAGCTGTATTTTTTCAACAATAATTTTTTTCTGAGTGAAAAAACTCTTTTGTGACAAAATTTTACTTCATTCCATACACTCTAAGATAGGATTCATCATCCTCCAACCTCTCAACAGCATTCTGACTTTTGGAATTATGCATCACCTTTTTCAAATTGCCCAATTTTGAATGCTCCAGAAAATTTATAGATTTGTCAATGGAAAAATCTCCTTCCATTAAAAATTGCCATCAATGTTGGGAAAGTGGCACAAATTTTCTTCTCATTTGTCATTTTCCAGAATAATGGTCTAAGAAAGGTAGCAAGAAATGCTAGGTGGATAAAGGTTGCAGAAGGAAAGTCTTTGACTGACAGAAGACCCAAATACTTCAATGTTCTAAGTGAATTCAGGCAGGAACTGAAAAAAAATTGGACACAGAGATGTTGTTTACTGTGGTAGTTTCCAGATATCAAGGTTCAACTACATCAGTTGTGAAGTTTTTAAATGTTTACAGGTGAGTGAATACATCAGACAATGTTGTATAGACATGGGACAACTCTTCCAAGATCAAGATGACTATTTGGACTGTTATGCCTCAAAGGAGAAGATGGGCAAAGAAGGATTGGACTTGGAGACTGGAAAATGCACAATTCTCATATGGTTGGCGCTCAAAAATGGCTCTTTTGACCAGGTAGCCTCATTGAAGAAGCATTATGGGAAGGCAAACCCAGGAAGTGTGGAAATTGTGCGCAAAATTTATGATGACCTAGGAATCAAGCAGTACCTCGAAGATCACATAGAAAATGGGTATAAGCAGTGTGTGAAAAAACTGAAACCAACAGCTGACAACGACCTACAAGCTGTTGCTGCTGTGTTGGCCAAATATTCAGCAGTTATGCTGAAGCATTACACATCCAAAAAACCTTGAAATGCTGATGGCAACGCTGCTCCCAAGTCTTTCCATTTCCTGAACACTTTCTCAAGGAAAATATTGAAACAATTGATACACATCAGAGGAACCAATAACTTAACTTCCATATACTGTACAATACAACACATTATGCAAAGGATGAATAATAAAGAGGACAGTCTGAACAATGCAAAAAAGTGTATGTGTGTTACCCTAGCTTGAAACCAGGGCATCCTCTCCATATGATGGCAAGATTTTCAACCATTTTTTGGAAATTGCATCAAAGACCCAAGTACTGTATTTTCTGGATGCCACAAAAAAATCAGCAGTCCTAATTTCCAAATACAGTCAACCCTTGGTTTAGTGCCCCCAATTTAGTGTCACAAATTTGACCTGAACAAATCTCCCTCTATTGTGCTCTTAAGGCAGTGGTGCCCAACTCAGAAGTGGCCAAGGCCCACATTGAAATACCGTCAATTCCTGCCTAATGGACTTGTTTTTGTGCAACAGACAAGTCTGTTAGACAAAAAGTCCTTCAGACAAATTCAACTATAAAAATTTAAAAGCTCAATGGTCAACACTAATTTGAAACCAGAATAAGTCTTTTGGGAAGATTTTGTCTGTTGGGCAGGAGGAAAAGCTGCCTGCAGAGCTGGTCTGTTGGGGCAAAATCTTTTATGCAGGAGGTTTGTTAGGCAGGGGGCCACTGTAGTAGATCATTATGTGGGCCACAATGGAAACAAAGCACAAGAAGTGTTGTACAGTACATTGTGTTATTCATAAATTTCTGGGATGGCCAAAACTATTATATTTGTCTATATGCAAGTTCAATAAGGATTTCAGGATTTTCAGTCATTTCATCTAAAAACGTATTGCTGCATTTTTACTGATACATTGCAACTTGTATCTTCATCAAGTGATGACTGAATTATTGTTTATAAAATCACAGAATTCCATCTGCATAACTTTTTAAAAATAAGATTCAACTCAATTCCGAAAGCAATATGTGGGTTAAATTCACACAAAAGAGGGCCAAATTCAAAAATAAAACACAAAATCAGCTGTGAGGTGCAGCTGGGGATTTCTTTCACTTAATCCCAAAAGAAAACAATAAGATGTATTTCAAGTTTTAACCCCAAGAAATTTACACACTTCTCCACATAAAACACAATGGGTAAAAAGATAAACTTCACAATCTCAGACACATAAAAACAACACACATATCTTTTAGTCTGTACTTCTGTACACCTGATTTGTTAAAACCCTTGAAGGGTACAGATTGAAATCATTGATATGGCAGCCATCTAACAAGCAGAGTCAGTGTGCAGGTACAGCTGTACATTGAGGTACCAAATTATTCTGTCACACAAAAAAGCAACTGAAAATAATGAGTGACTTCGAATGTTGAGAATACCATTGTCAGAAACAAAAAAGGCCAGTGTTCATGAAACTGGTTAACTAATGTGAAGAAAATCTGGTCACTATAATGATTTCATACAATGCATAACATTTCTTAACAATTTTAAATATGGGTCTATTTGCAAAGAAGCATGCATTCAACCTCTCAACATATAAAATGTTCATGGCCTTTTTGGGATGGTCAAAACCAGGGTATGTGTCTGGCATCAAGTTTGAGTAATAGTGACAGATTTTTTATGAAGTTTTTGTGAATCACCGATCCAGTTAAATTCACATTTGAATCTAGGATAAATCCTGACTGAAAATTTCAGACAGGGCCAATTTGAAAAATAAAATTTTGGAGGCTGGGACAATTTGAGACAGAAATTTCTGCAGACAGGGATAATTCAAGGCAGATGCATTTTGACACAGGAAGAACATGAAGCATCTTGAGATAGAAGAATTTTTAAAAAGACTCTTGTTTTCCCCCCTGATATCTGATATTATAGAGGTGGAAATGTACAAAAATGGCACTGCTTGGAGAAAAAGTGACATAATAGAAAATCTCATACGCAATAACCAGAGGTTTTTTCAGGATTTTGAATGAACCAACTTATCCCTTCTTTCCTTCCTCTCTTGGTTGGCTGCAATACTATGGTTTTCACAATACAAACTTAATTTGTTCCAGAGCTACATTTGTAGTGCAATACATTAGTAATACCAGTCACAATTTCCAATAGACTTGTATGGGAAATTGTTTAATTCATTCCCAGAGAAAAAAAATGAATTTTCTAGAAAAAACAGGTTGGTACTGTTATGTTTGATCATATGATGTGTTCTGAGACAATTTATTGTCTCAGAACACCAATTTTCTGATGTGATTACGGTGAAATGACTGTCATCACATGTGACAAATGCTTCAAAAATTTCTGTGTTCTGAGGAAATTGTCTCAGAACCCCAAAAGTTTTAATTTCAGGAAATTTCTGTGTTCTGAGATGATTCTCTCAGAACACTGAAATTTGTTTTGTGCTAGGAACAAAACTAAAAACCTTGTTCCTAGTGCAAAATTTGTACTACAAACAAGGGTGAACATTTTCCTTTGTTGGTTGTAAAACTTCTTTTGTTCTTGTTATCCAATAAAATACTAATGGGTTACTGAACGGCGATACGGAATGGTGTTACTGAACAGTGTTGTTACTGAACGTCATTATGGAATGGTGTTACTGAGCAGTGTTGTTACTGAACATCATTATGGAATGGTGTCACTGAACAGTGGTGACACACCAATAATATACACAAGGATATATATAAAATATTGAATAATATATATTCAAGACACACAACAATTACAAATACAGAGTTTGGAATCAGGAAGTCTTGCTAAATCTTTACAAGGCTTCCTGAGAAATAACCATGTCAAGGTTTGGATAATTTCTGAGGCTTGCTCAGGAAAAGCAGAGGTTTATATAGCTTTGACAGGAATTGAGGATACCCAAGATTCCTTCAAGTTGAAGAATATTCATGAGGCTTTTCTTTAAACCTCATGCATACATTTAATATAACATAGGTGGAATGCGCACACCAAGTAAAATACATTCAATCAAAAATATACATATATCCAAGAGGTTTTTCCTCTTGGATCCCCACAGAGTCAAAGAAAATCCGTCACAGTGGCTCTGTCACTGTCAGCATAAAGAGAGGAAAATAGGCGCTTGGCCTTCTGAGGGGAAAAGGGTCATGCATTAATGCGGACGTCCTTTGCATACAGGAAGAGAAAAACAGGGAACAGCTGCAGGGGGAGAAAATCACCTCTTGTTCCTGGAAGGAAATAAAATAGTTAATTCTTCCTAGATAACCTAGATAACCTTGCAACAAGTATAAAGTATCTGGGTTAACATTCTATGTGGGTGAAAATCGAGGATTTTGCCCAAAAAATGTTCATGCAGCAGAAAATTTGTACTACAGGTGAATGGGGGGGGGGGGGGGGGGGGAAGTCATTTCATCTAAAAACGTATTGCTGCATTTTTACTGATACATTGCAACTTGTATCTTCATCAAGTGATGACTGAATTATTGTTTATAAAATCACAGAATTCCATCTGCATAACTTTTTAAAAATACACCGAATACAATAAATCTATTGCACAAAAAAATAAAGGGAATACTGTATATATAACAAAGCTTTTTAAATATATAAATTCAAAATCATAACATTAAAAAGCACTGCAAATTTAATCATGCTAAAGTCAAAGTGACATAAAATTAAGCGCAATATAAAACATATAGTCTACACTCTACAGAGTTGAGAAGGTGGGGGGGGGGGATCTGTGGACAGTTAGAAATTTTAGTGCAATTGAAAACTCTTTAAGATTCACCAAGAATCTAGAGAACATGAGAAAATAAGTGCATACAAAAAAATAATTTGTGTGCAGAGTTGCTTTGAGAGAACCTCAAATTGCCCTTGTCTGTAAATGTCCATGCCTGCAATTCTTACCCAGTCACTATTTGAGACAGGAAATGGCTGAACTTTCAGCTGGTGATCAATGCGCTTTCCCCAAGGGGGACTAAGTCCCCACCACCAAAAAGGGCGTCTTTCATTTGACAGTCCCTTCAAGAAGGCTGCGGATTTCTTCTTGTGCCATTCTGAGCTTCAGGGTTCCAGACTTGATACAACTTATTGGGACGTTCAACTGCACACGCACCCCCAAAAATACAATTGAAAAAAAGTTATACTCCAAAAAACTGGGGTGGTGCATCTTACTCAAGGGTGCGTGGTACTGAGTAAATACAATGAGAAAAATATTCCAGAAAAGTCCAAAAATTTTAGCAGCAAGCACACATTTTAGTTTGTTCCATTAAAAAAAAATATATTGCAGGGAAACTGAGGGCAGGCAATGAAGAAGCACCGCCTCCTTTTGCAACTGGAATCACCTCTCATATTTGCCATGCAATCCATTGCATTCTCTATTCCTGAACAAAAAAAGATAAAAACTCACCATAATCATTTTTGTGGAAAGATAGCTTGAATATTACTGGAAAATGTTAATCAAAATCAAATCAAAATGTCAAAAATATCTGTGGGAAAATATGAGGACTGCTGAGAAATGTTCATTAAAACGTAATCAATATAGTGACAGTGATGGAACAGAATGAGGGCTCCATGTCCTGAATGAACTATTCAACCCTTTTTTAAATATGGATGAGTTGCTGATTGGAAGTCTAAAAAATGACTTAAAGAGAAACAGACAAAATGAAGGTGCAGATCATACTTGTGCACCCTCCTCTTTCTTTCATGAGTTGCCTTCCTGCACTGTCATCTTCCCATGAACATTCCCATTTTTTGCATCTTTTACTTGCCCAGAGTCAAAGGCTTTTTTCCTGCAACCTTATTTCAAAGATGTTTAATGGCTGGGGATGTCAAAGGGTTTTTCTGGCAACCCCTCTTGGTCCTCCCCCTCAGAACAGTTTCAAAACCCATGGTGACCCAGACTAGTTTGAGGGTAATTCGATTGATAGTCCTCATGTTTGCACAGATTTTATTGTTGGTGCATTCTATACTGTCTGACCTTTCCCTTCCTTTTATAATACCTGATACATTTTCACAAAAAGTATTTCTTTT